ATATACAATTAAAAAAAAAAAAAAATGAAGAGCCGAAACGTTTAAGCCTCTCGTGTAAGTAAAATCGTGACGCGTCAGAGCGTGCCCTTTCGAACGGGATATCGGATTTCGGATTTGAAAGAATAAACGGATTAGCCGGTTGTGAATATCGCATCTTCGAGGATTAATAGGAACGAAGTTAGGCGAGAGGGCCGTGTTGCACTGCCATGATGATTGTATTGCATGCGAAATTGGTAATTGAATTATTTCATCAGCATTATTGCCGTTGATGCGGAAACAAATGTAGTAATAATGCGGCAGCACGATTCAATCGGCTAGCGTTTGATAAAATAATATTTATTAGCCGACACGTTCCGATCGCTTTGGCCGTTGATTTTCATGGGGGATTCGTTAAAGGGGTTTTCGATTTTAACGAAAGGAATGGCCATCCGGAAAAATTGCTCCTCGAAATTACCTCTTATCCCGTTCTACTGATCTGTAAAGCTGCAGTTAATTTGTGCACAGAATATTTGGTCCGTTTTATGGTGAATTTTCATGAGCGGTCATTGAGAGTAATGTTATATCGTACTGAATAAAGCAGGGATTTAAAAAACAAGGTTAAATGGTATTGAGAGATTGAAGAAATTACTTTTTTTTCCCCTCTTTCTCTTCTTCTGCGTTCTTTTGTCCCGGCTTTGAAAGAAATGGATGATTTCCTGTGGAAAATCAAACAATATGAGATAGTTAAAGAAGTATGGATATTTTCATATTCTTCTTACATATGGTGTATATTTATTAACATTTTGTAATGATGAAAGTTGTGGATATAGATAGCAAGATGAAAAAAAATTAATTTATTTGAAACGAGATCACAATGTGAAGAAATTTATAATGAAAAGAAAAATAATAATGATAATTTTCTTCGATAAAGATAAGAGTCGAATGGATTAAGGAAGAAATGAAATGATGGTATGATATAAAATGAAACGATATTGTGATCATATCATTATTATTATCATAAATATTCTTTCGTATCGTGACAAGCTGAGGAACATAATGAGCATCGATACCAAAAAATTGGCAAAAATTCGACTAGCATCATTCCTATTACACAAAGAATCGTGAAACTATGCTGCGGACACGCGAGATATCTCTGACACTTTACATTTATTTTTTTCTTTATATAGATCCGTTCGAAAATATTAATTACACCACTTTTACTCGAGTTCTCTCTCTCTTTTTTTTTTCTTTTCTTATTTTCTCTTTGGCTATAATGAAACACGTTTCCCTATCGAACACTCGCTCGTGTTAACTACGTAGAAACGAGATGACGGTTTCAAAAATATTTATTACAATTAGAAAATCATGTAGAGTATTATTCAGTCGTTGCGATCCTTAATCAATAATTCGTAACTAATACTAGCACACATCGCTCGTTAATACATAATATACATATACATATACATATATACGACTTTATCGTATTCTCTTCTTTTCTATTCATTATTAACTTTTTCTTTTTTTCTTTTTTTTTTTCGCTCGATTGCTATGCCTCGTCCGTCATTGCGAAACGACAAATAAGAAAATAAATAAATAAATCTTCGAGCGACAATTCGCAAGACATACAATTTGTGCGCGCGTACCTATTCGAGGCGAACGATACACCAGCGTGAGCAACAGGAAACAACGTTCCAACCGGAAGCAGGCCGGGGGAGAACAGTAAGCTCGATATTCATTGTAAACAGAACGTGACTGTGTAATCGGTTTTATTATTCGTTATGTTCGTAGGTATGTCAAACGCGGTTGACAAATGTATCGGGGAGAAGGGGAACGCATTAAATTGAACGGCAAATGGCATTAATTTAATAAACCCAATACGTAATAATAAGCTTCGAAATGAAATTACACATGGATTACATACGAAATGCAATTGATGAAGAGGGGATGGATAACAAACGATCATCTTTTTTTTTTGTCTCTCAATCATAAATACATATAAATCCTTCTTTCGCCGATATTTCTCGTTTTTCTTCTTTTTATTCTCCCCTTTCGTTCTCTTCGTTCTCGCCTATTTCTCCCGCTAGAGAGCGTTTCAACGACGAACATTTTTTTGCGCGGGAAAGAACGTTTGAAGCGCAACTGCGTACTTATATACGGTTCTCTCGTTCGTTAAATCACGCTTTTATAAGAATATTAGACTGGATAACAGTGGCAACGCAAAGTGACTCGTCGAATATCCGATTCATCAGGTACATCTTCTCGCTCACTGTTTCTCCGATTTATTATTTCTCTTTTATTTCTTTCTTTCTTCGTTTTAGGCGAATCGCGCGATATCATATCGAACTGTCTCTTTTTCTAATTAGAATTGACGTATGGAGTGAAAAGATAAAAAATAAAAAATAGTAGTGAGAGAGAATGGCAGTGAGAACGATAGAGATGATACATGGACATGTATATCCATAATTACAGTTTAATTCTTTCTTCATAAATTTTAAAAAAATATGAAAAAGAAAACATGTTATTTTCTTTTTTTAACACAATATTACTAAGCTAAACGTTGCAAACACATGATCTCATCAAAAAGAAGAAAGTAAAATCTAATAATAAAATATTCCAATCGGATACTTTCGTCGTTTCGTCTCGTTTTCACTGATCTCGCACTTGATGGACCACCGAATTCACTCTTTCGTTCATCATCATCGTTATCATCATTTGAATAAATAAACAGTTCATCGCAAAATGGCAGTTTAAAGTGGTAATTTCCGGTTCCTCGCGATTCACCCCGCTCGAATATCCCCTGTCCATTGTCTGATTCCTCGCTGCTCCTTTCCCTTCATTAGTCTAGATCTCGTCCAAGGCTGAAAACAAGCCTCGTGCAATTCTTTTCATCCCCCTCATTTCTTTCTTTCTTTCGTTCTTTTTTTTTTTTTGTTTGATCTCCAGCCACGCGTCTCCTCTTCCCTTCCTCCTAATCCAGAAAAGGGCGCGCGATCACGTGGCCCTTTCTCTATGGCCGGAGGACGATCATCACGTGACACAAAGCGGCCTGGACTTTTCTTTACAAGCACGTCGATTTATATAAACAGCTCCAAAGCGCGCGTAGTTGAATGCGGTATGGTTAACGAATGGCGATCAAAAGGGACAGTCCCAGGACCAGCCGCGCCAAAGGAAGTCTTGCATCCGATCTGGACGAGCCGAGAACTGGAAACAGAGAACACAGGTGGTGTTGCACTCGAGGTTGTGTCGTTTTCGTTTCGTGCTCGCGGCGATCGTGTCCGCCTGGAACGCGAAAGGATGAATAAATGAATTTATATAAGGTGGATGGAAGGGAATTCGTGGCCTGGAACCGCAGCTTTTGGAGAACGTACGAAATCGAGTTTAAGAGAGAGGATCGAGAACTGGGAAAATGTATATTCTCGACCGTATTTGAACAGAGGATATTGTGAATTTTTGCCTTCCAGCGATATATAGGGGAGGGGAGGGGAGGTTAAATTGGGTATTTTACGACGTGGTCTCTGTTTATGCGACAAAATAACATGGTACTTTGTTCGACAAATGGATGAGCGAAATTAGCGGACGGGCGAAACGTTTCTCGCGATTGTTTTCGAAAATAAATGAGGTAATTAGAGAACGTAATCATAGAGAAAATGGGTTATTAGCGAATGGTAGAGGTTTCGAATAGTTGATGTGGCGAGCAAAGAGATACAATTCTTTGATAAATCGATAAATAAGATATCGGGCTGTCTTATATTTATTATACTACAATAAGTTTTATTTGTCTTCAAAAATAAAGAAATTTTCTTTGTTTGTATGTTTTTTATACCTTAATATATGTGAATTATTTTATTTTTATTTCAGGTATCTATTTATCTTCATCATAATATCGTGTGTTATTATTAAAATATAATATTATCATGAAATCTTATTGATTAAAACCTATTGTTTAATATTAGAAACATATCGTCTGGACAAACGATTTCACTTTTTAAAAGTAATTCATACAAATTTATTTGAAAATCCCATCCATCAAAAATTAAGAGAATGCAATATTTTTTTTTCATCGCAGCATGTTTTTCCTCTGGGAATCGTTATATTAAATTCAATTTTCATCCCCCGTTCACCGAACGTTTTAATATTAATTTTTTCGCGTTACGTGAAATAGAATTAAATAAATT